GTGTAGACCAGCCTTTCTCAACCATGGTTCCCCAGATGTAGTTGGACTATAACTCACATCATCCCTTGCTAGCAGGACCAGTGGTCAGAGACAGTGGAAGTTGATTTTATCTTTCAGAGCCTGTGGGAGATCTTGTTCACAGACCTTGTGTGTCCTGTTTCCTTTGGATAAGAGAGCATGCTAGAGACTTGCACTATTCCTGCAGTATCGGTTTGCATGTGAAGTTGCCTCCCACGGAGTCAGACTGTTGGTTCACCGAGTCCACTGTCACCCCAGGGCCTTCTCAGTGGTGGCTGCTCCCAGTCTTTGGAACTCTCCCTAGAGAAGCTAAACTGGCTCCCTCCTTTCTGTCCTTCCGTTGACAGGCGAAGACTTTCCTGTTCCAACAGGTTTGGGGAACGGACTGCTTTTAATGAAAAGGCTGGTGCTTTGCTGCTTTTATTGTAATTATCTGCATGTTTGCAATAATATATTTCGGCTTAATTGCTTTTTAATTATTTTTCTTATCTGTAAGCTGCCTTGAGTCCCTGTCAGGGAGAAAAGTGGGGTATGAGTAACAACAACAACATAAGTAGTAACTTTCCAGAGTCCCTTGCAGCCATGGTACCTGAAATCCTTTAACTGAGAATGTTATGGATTGAATTTTGGGCTTTCAACAGACAATGTATATGCTCTGCCATCGAGCTATAGCTCTTCCCTGGTACTCTGTTTATATATTTGTTTCTTTACAGAATATCAGTTTCTCAAAACTGAAACAACCATCCCTGAATCATGCTGACAGAAAAACACATGTGCCCCAATGTGCTTCAATTTTAGCAGACAATCTAAAACTCTTCAACAGCCTGTGCACCCAAAATTCAAGCCTTCTACACAATGTTTTTCATCAGCTCCCACTAGCTGGGCAACATCAGGATAAATTAGCACTAAAACGCCTGTGCATTTTCATGAGGACTTTTTATATAAAAAAATCACAAAGTGATGTAGGAAAGTGGAGAGCTGAATTTAAGATGGAAAAACTGAAAGAAACCAAAATTAACCCATTCCTTTCCTCAGCTGAAGCCCGACTCCCCTTCCTTAGATAGCTGCCTGATTTCACTGCTTTAAATCAAGTGTATCCAACATGCCTGCCTACACTTATTCAGCAGGCTTTGTACTACTTATTTGCATCCTTTTGAACACAGAAGAAAAATAATGCATCTTAATAATTTTATGCAGTGACATTTATTACACGCTCACTGGTACCTATGTGAAATGTGATCCTCTCAAGTGTGAAAGTGTGTATTTCCATAGAAAGCTAGTCTTGTACAGTTTGTAAGCTGATTTGGAGGTCGGGTGGCTGTGTCTCTCTCTCGGTGACCTAGTACACATCAAAATCTTGTTGTATTCTTTGGTAAACTGACTTGTTAATTCATGTTGCCTTGAGATGAGTAGCTTGTATTATTGTGGTTTTGGTTGTGAATTTTGTTCTAATGCTATAATTGGATTCCCCCCACCCTATATTAGATGCTATGGGGCTTGTCAACCTGAGAAGGTAGCCCTCCTATGAGAAGGAAAACTCTGATCCTAAACCTCCCCTGCCTTGTGGATTATCTTCAGGAGAAGAAAGGCTCAGGAGTAAACCCTCCACAAATCCAGAGTGGAGCCCCTAAGATGGTGGGATTGCGCCTTGTACACCTTCTTCCAGAACCTCCCACGGCCAAGCTGGTGCCAAATGTATTGCTCTGCTTTCCTTTGAGCCACATCAGTGAGGCTGAGATGGCCCAGAACCTCCACACCCTGCGCCCTGGAGAGGACACTTTGGTGCTGATAACACAGTGGCATGACTTTACCCCTGGAAGTGCAGTCCATTATCTCTCAAGACAGACGGATGCCAACAAAATGCTTTGGGAAATAAAAGTGAGTAATAAGTATTAAATGAAATTGAAATAAAAATGGGGCCGGGAGGCTATGATATTGGACCCCGGCAAATGTGATAGAAGATGCAAAGGCACAGTTTTGATTAAGTGCAAAGTTTAGGGCAGGTTGGGTGGGGGACGACAGGCGAGAAACTTGCGTCAGCCCCTTCTGGTCTACCTACTGGGTTTTGACACGGTACACCTACAAGCTCTGACTGAAGACAAAAGCTGGTGATCAATTTCCTTACAGTAAGATTATAGGCTTTAACAGTTCAGCACTAATATATATCACTTAAACAAAATAACAGAGGTTGCAAGTCACTGAAGTGACAGGACTGAATATGAAACCTGTAATTATGCATTTAATCATTGACTAGGCCCTTTCTTCATTCTGCACTCATTTCAGCACAGGGACATAATTTTGCAGCTAGCACAAGTCATGACCCAAGAGGCAGTTAAACAGCTGTGTAAAATAGAATGGTCTTTTTTTATTCCAGCTCACAAATAGAAGTCTTTCAGTCTAGTAGTAATAACAATAATTTATTAAATGCCAGAAACAGCTTTGCAAAGCAGTTGCTACTTCGAAAAATAACATAAATTTCAGCTCGCCTCTCCACGCCTGTGCTCTTGCCAGCTCAACAAGCCCTCCTCAAGACTGGAGGGGCCTTCATATCCTGGAGCATGCTCTGGAGTGGTACCCTCCTGTTGTACATGAAGCACCCTTTTTGAAAAGATCATACAGGCCATCCCTGTTTTATAGCTATGAAGCCTTTCTCACACAGGTAAACAGAGAGCAACATACGTATAAGGCCTATACAAAGCCAGTCCTTCCATCAGCTTCAGCTAGTGGCCCAGCTGCACCTCTATCTGGACAGAGACAGCCTAACTCCTGTCATCTATGCTCTGGTAACCTCTAGATTAGATCACTGTAACATGTTATACATGGGGCTGCCTCTGAAGACAGTTTAGATATGTCAGTTTGTATAGAATTCAGCAGCCAGGTTGCTCACCAGGGCAAAATGGTTCGAGCATATAATGCAAATCCTGGACAGACTGCATTCACTGCTGATTACTTTCCAGGCCCAATTCAAAGTGCTGATTTTGACCTATAAAGCCTTAAATGGCTCAGGACCTCAATACCTAAACAACTACCTCTCCCTTTATGAGCAGACCTGGACTCTGTGATCATCATTTGATCTGAGGCCCTTCTTCATGTGCCCCCTCCATAAGAGGTCCGGAGGGTAGCAACACAAGAATGGGCCTTTTCTGCGGTGGCTCCCTTTATGGAATGCTCTCCCCAGGGAGGTTCGTCTGGAGCCTTCATTACATATCTTTAGGCACCACACAAAAACTTTCTTCTGTAACCAGGCCTTTGTCCTTTAACTATCTTTTAGATGTGGATGGGATGCTTTTAATGTATTTATTTTCCTTCTTGGTTTTAACGTACTGTATCTATGTGGTGGTTTTTTGTTTGCTTGTTTGAAAGTTGCTTTGGATCACCCTGGGCAAGACAAAGCAACTAACAAATTTAATAAATGAAGTAAACAAATAAATAAAATCGACAGAATATATGTCCACTGGTGACAGATGGATCAGTGTGGTGCAATGCATGAACTGCTGGACCACAGCTCTAATGCTCAGCTGGTAAATTGTGCTAGTTATCTTTTTGTCTAACCACCAAGTTGTTGTGAGGATAAAATGGGAAAATGCAATGCACAGCATACCAACCCCTTAGAATAACAGACTTTTCTTAACCTGGATGAGTATGTATTTAGATTCAGGCAACAAAATGTCTTTGTTTGGATGCTATGCTTACATTAATACACTAGATCCCCTATGCTCAGCTGTAGTACATAGGCACCATAGACCTATCAGTTCAGGAAACTGTCTACTTGGCTATTTTAATTACAGGTATGCATTTAGCCTGGATGAATTCCAACCAAATCAGGTAGACTGAAAGATTTTAGGCTCTCTGGGGAGTGAAGTGGGTATCCTCAAAGGTATTCCCAATCTGGAAGCTCCAGATACCTTGAAGTTGCAGAGAATCTAGAGAATGCTGACTTGGACTGTCTCTATCAAATTATGACATTTCCCAAAGCTCTCCATATAATGAGAGCAGGGAGGGAGAGGATACTTGTTTTCTCTGAGCAGAAAACAAATCTCTCAAAACTCACATACCATGTCATATTTATCATAACTACTGCACCAATTGTTCTGACATCTCGCAGGCCATTTTGGAGAGGTACCTCTATGATGTATGCTGTTTTCATAAAAATTGTGATATGGAGGCAAGTCTTCTAACCTCGGGTCAAATTTTAAGGTGCAAAACTCTCTGACACCTAGCCAGAATTTCAGCAGGTTTCCTACCTTGAGGGACTTCTATGGCGTATGGTTTTCAAATTGTCCAGAATACAGTAGGAGAGATAAAAGGGAATCATTTTCTTAACCAGTGCATGCCATTTAAAAAGCCTATCCTATCAGAACCCCCTCCCAACCTGTCCTTCTGACATCCTCCAATTTTGCCAAAAAGAGTTATAGCCTTTTAAAATTTCCCCTTATTCATGAGTGGAGCTCCTGTTCTCCAAAAACAAGGTTCTGATTTGAACTAGAGGCAAAGTAGGCAGCCTCCAAATTAGGGCCTGAAGCAAATCTTGCACTTGGTGCATACCCATAACTTAAAACAATAAATACCTTCCAATTTATTTTAATTTTTCACCAGAAAAGCAAATCAATTAATCAAACTGCCAAGTGTTATTTTCTGGTACTGAAAAGTTTTTTAAAACAAAAGCCGCAATTTTGAGCCCTTAATTTTTTTACACAGTGGTTTGTTTGCTTTTTAAAAAGAAACATAGTGCAACTGATTAAATTAGATGTCTTGACTTAAAGCACTTACATGATTGCATGCAAAGGAAAAGCAGATGGTCTATGACTATGTCATGCTAATTTGATTTCTTGCTATAAACATTGATAGAGAAAATGCTTCTGAAATTTTTCAGGAAGATGGGTATTGTTATGTACTGAAGTTCTCACCCTGGGCCAGCAGGGGGATACTGTAGATAGTTTTCACTCAGGTCCACTTCAGTTATTTTAGGCGGGAAACCCTGGGTTGTTGTTGCTACAATGTTGACAGCCGGCTGCCTATAAAAGCCGGCCGGCTGAGCTGTTTGCTGTTCACTTCTGTTCCAGCTTACAAATAAAGAGCTGCTTTGGAGAAATCGATGCGTCGTCTGCTATGTCTACCCACTATTCAACAGGTATGCATTGTATTTCTTTAAAATGAATCCCATAATTCTATGAATTCTAAGCAAGCAAATCAGTCTGTCCAATGCATCCCCGCATTTAAAAACTCAAATAGGGGTGTGTGTGTGTGTGTGTGTGTGATGCCCTACATGCTGTATCAATTGCAGTGCTTCTGTGACCTATTTATGTTATGAAGCTTCAACATCTATACATTACTATAAATCTGAGGTTTCCTGTGTTCATACTTTTATTGCCAAACTGTGTGCAGAAGAGAAGCATGGTACACATGAGTATCGCACACAACAAATCTGCAGGGAATAATCCCCTCTCCTGCCCACACAACACCCTAAAATACTGTTAAATGACACGATATTACAGAACGCAGAAATTGTAAATAAGGGGCTACGGTCCCTACAGGAGTATTTTGATCTCAACCATAATAAAGAAACAGATTTAAATACAGTATGGGATGTGAGCAAGGCGGTAATGAGAGGCTTTTTAATCCAACAAAGCTCACACCAGAAAAAAAATAAGAGAAAAAAAGAAACAGGAGATTCTGCAGGCCTTAACTGCTAAAGAAAAAGGAATTAAATATTAAA